GATCCAATTAATGTGTAATTCGCTTGCCTATTTTTAACCCCAAAGTGCATTACCTTATATTTATCGGCATTAAAACTCATCTGCCATGTAGTTGCCCACTCCCCTATTTTAGCCAGGTCCTCCAGGATCGATTCAGATTTTTATTTCTTTCGTTTTTCGAATCCTTCCAAATTTTCGTTTCGGAACCATCAGAATATTCCTTGGCTCTAATGCAGCCCCCAACAGACATAAAAAAACATCTAATATGCCAGAACAAAGTCACATGTTTTTTAGGTTCGTTTTGAACGCAATTCAGACAGATCCGAATTTTCGTTAATTTGACATTCGCATTCGTCAGGACCAGATTTTACTCTTTCTGCTGCTTCAAGGCCAGGTTCCTCAATGCGCCACTTCCCCGCCAAACCCCCCCTCCCCAATGGAGAATAGCAACCAGATGTGGGGGCGGCAGAGTTGGTTTTATTTTTTATAATTTTTTAATCTTGTTTTTTACTTTTGTATCACTTTTTTTATTTTTTCATTATTATTTCTTATTATTTTTTACTTTTTATTACTTTTTATAAAAAAAATTATTTTATTTTTTCACTTAATCTTATTGCTATGACACAGGGGCTTACGAGGAGGTGACAGGTTCTCTTTATTGAACCTGTCACCTCCAATAAAGGAGTTCTAGCACAGTACTGTGCTGGCTCTCCTGTGACAGCTGAGATGGGAAGGCTGTGAGTGCAGCTCGCCCGTCTCAGTGTTTACACAGAGCAGAGCAGGAACGGACGTTCTCCGCTCTGCTTCCCGCTCTCCATCCTGAAGAGAGGATCTCCATCTCTGGAGAGAGGCAGCCGGCGGGGAGAGAAAACAACTACCCGCCCGGTGCCCGGAACTGCATATCCCGGGTGTCGGGAGATAGGAATTGCACACCCTTGCCACTCCTCTATTGAGCCATGTTTAAAAGCAGAAATCAGGATGCATCCGAATGTCCAAATTTAACGAAATTCGAAACGAAACAAAATTCACATGTCTTAATTAGCTCAGAGCACAAAGGTCTGCATGGGGCCTTGACCTCAACCCTACTGAATACCTTTGGGATGATATTTTGGCTGAATGGGCACAACTTCCCACTGACACACTTTTCTGGAAAGCCTTCACAAAGTGAGCCAACACCATAGTAATGTCCATGGCTTTCCAATGGGGTGTCCAACAATCTTATAGTTGTAATGGTCAAATGTCCACAAATATTTGGCAATATAATGAATTTGTAAAAGTCAAAACTTAGGGAGAACGTGTAGGTTGGTTGCTTGTTTATAAAGCTAGTCCAGACCAAATTCACCCCTTTCTGGTACATTTTAATTCAAGTGAAAATATTAAAGCGAAATCTATTTTGGTCTGTTAGATGTTAAAAATGTTCTGTCAA